AAAATCGTTTGCCACCGCCCCATCCTACTCCCTAGTCAACGGCTATGATCCGGTGTTGACAGAGGGGAAAGTAACTGCCAATCACATTTACCAGTCTCACCATGCAGACGGGAACTTCTCTATACTAATTTTTAGCCATGGTAGTGCATATAAACGAAAAAGACGTTTCAGAACGGGTGCATGGCGTCAATGGAATGTGACAAGCCTCTCATCATTATTGTGTTCCCGCGAATATATATATATATATATATATATATATATATATACTTTCTAATTGACTGTCTTTGTGAATGCAGCGCACGGTTCTGCAAATTCACTTACTTGTCATTGCATACTCACTTGTGATTGTGCGGTTTCGTGATAGGGCGATCATTCAACTTCACACTTATTGGTGCATTCGTCCCGACCCCAGGTGATTTATTGGTGGATTTGGTGTAAATGAGATGCCTAGTATTTAATGTAACTTCAACACGTCGGTCACATGTAAATGTCACTAATTCCCCGTAAAAATGCTTCGAAAAGGGACACCACTGCAAAATTCAGCATTTCGGGAGGCCGCAACCGACATGCCAAGGTAATCCCACAAAACACTGTTTGGGACAAAGTGGTTCCAAATTACATCATCCATTGCTGACTTCTAGGTACATTAGAAGATTCAAAACATGTGGAGGATAATCGCAGCGACGCTTATACAGGTAGACTTGTGGGTATTTTCCTTTGTTTCTTTACTTTTCTCAGATCTAGGCTCTTGATAGACTGAAATATAATGGACTAATTCGGTTTTACCAAGCAAATAAAAGTAAACAGGATTTACAGGTTATTCTAAAAATCCGGTCGCTGGTTGTGTTGAAGAATGTCTTACGTCGGTCCGTACCTAGTTTAATGTTTTGCGCAAATAAGACTGGCTACTTTCACTTTCTCCGGAGAAGGTGACGCGACAGTATAACCACAAAGATGGAGATATTTTAAAGATGAAAATTTGTTCTTTCGAATCGAAAAATTATTGTTGTAAGAGACTAAAGGTTTGGATGTTGTTCTGTTTGCCGGGCTTGGTAGATGGGTTGCAAACGTTTCATCACCAACCGAGGCGACATCGTCAGGGCCAAGAGAACAGACCAACAACCAAGCAGCGCACCAGAGCTACCTATATTCCGCAACCTTGCCAGACCAAAGATTTATCGGTCTACTGAGTCTCAGTTTTCCATTTTTGGCTTAGCAGCTTTCCGACGAATCTGATCTTTGTTTCTTCCACTGAGCTAGGCCAGCCGATGGTCATCCATCGGGATAATATCATCACCGCGTCTGCGCGGAACGGAGCGTAGCGGTGTGCCGGTGACGCCTCCCTAAAGTCCCAGGAATTCCCATGTTTTGCGACACTGATTATCCCCTACCATGCATGTTGCTTTTATAAATTTCAGATTGGACCGAAACAAAATCAGAAAAATTACCTGGCAACTCCTCCTGGCTACAGACTTTTGTCATCAGTCCAACGTGAGTCTTGTGTTTTTGGAAATTTAACTTCAGAAGCCAAGCCTTCCAAGTAGTCCACGAAAAATCAAGTATTCATGAAACAGCCACCATTCAGTGGCGCACTGCCACGGATGCTAAGGAGCTTTCACATGTTTATTTCCAAAATGATCACGCAAGTTTGAGTGAGAAGCGGTCGGCTGACCGTGTATAAAATAAAATCCTCTTCATCCTTCAATCGCGTTGCTCAGAGTACGTGACCCATTATTGACTCGGCTTTTAAATGATCGGTTCTATCGGCCCACCCGATACGTGCTACAAGCAGTCTATGAGCTTTATACCATTTTTATGCAGACTTCCACATACATTTCGCCGTAGATTTCGGCCCATCGACACTCAGCCGTAGAAGGCTATCCGCCCTACTCAATTAGTAAGCACACTGATGAGGTGCTCATACGCTAGCGGTACTCTGTTACAGGATATGTATTGAAATGCCTTCAACATTAGCCTCTTTGGTCGACGTTCTTTCTCAATCAACCGTGAGCTTGGGAAGGAGATATAGAGCACAACATTAGTCCCGGTAAACGATGTTTGGGCTTGCGTGGCACATGGCTTGTACAGGGTGTTTTCCGCGACCGAATTACCTGCTGCACAAACAACTACCCGTCTTCTAACTACTTAGTTACGAATTCGTTGAATTCATGCAACACCAGTAACGCTTTTGAGGCGCTTGAAGATGCCTGACATCATCTGTCCACAGAGGCGATGTTTCGCAACCATATAACAACAGAGCCCTTACTGTAGCCAGGCGTGAGCAGCCCTTAAAACCCAGTGATATGCCTTTTTTATGCCACATGAGACGCAAGTAAGCAAACTTGACCCGGGCCCTTGAGATTTGTGCACTGATTTCATCAGAAACACGTCCGTCGAAAGTAATACAATTGTCGAAGTACGCACACTCCTCCACAGCTTCCAACTGCTCCTTTCCTTGCAAGGGGTATATTCAGAGATTGCACGTTCTGGGGTACAGTGAAGCACTTTTAAGACACGAGATAAGACAGTACGATGCCAATAAGTTTATCCAACAGATCTCGTGCTTTACTTTCGCCTCTCATGATGACGATGATGTCATCTGCTTACCCAGATCAACAAGATTCTTACGTACAATGATTTAAACCCCCGAGGTTGAACATGAATGAATGGAGCGGATATTGTTGCTGTACACCAATTCTTTCGGGCAGCCTTGTAGAGGGCTCACCCTACACTATCGCACACCAAAAGTTATGTGAATATAGTGGCCGGATTATGTTCACAAACTTCTGAGGCACCCACAATAGACCAAGTGTAGTTAGAAGCACTGACCGATTGTCAGATTCAAAGCCACACGTAAAGCCAAGAAGCACCAAGATTGTGGGGCGTGTTTACATTTGCAGTTGCTCTGATATCTGACAGATTTGGAAGAGGTGGTCGGTGCATCCTCTATCCGATGGGAAATGCGCTTGATGCTCATGAGTCACCGACATCGATTATTGTGTTGGGTATCTGTCTTTAGTGATGATTGACATCCGACATTGGGCAACCACGCAGGAGCCGGTTCTGATAGCTCTGTTTGATTCAGGCTTCCGCAAGGTTGTCGATGGCCTAGTAGGGTTTGCGCGTTTTGCATGGACCGTAAAAGCAGCAACGAACAAGCGTATGATCTAAGTCGACGGAAGCGCTTCAGAAGAAACCGCAGGTGGTGATTAACCCTCGCCACCGTAAGTGATATGTTGTTGTTGGTGGTGGACATCCAGTGATCAGGCGATTTCCAATGACACTGCGACGAAAAAGTCAGTGGTTAGCACATATCCACAACAAGCTCTCCACGTTGTCTGCGTATCTCATGTCCAGTCCAAGACAGTCTCTCAGTTGGGCCTCAGCAACAACTGCGTCACCTGCGCGTCAATGTTAGCAGCTACTAAATCTGTTTGAGTTTTTAGTCCGTTGTAAAAGAACAACCATGGCGTATGTGGCAGGTTCAGAGCTACGATAAATCGGGATATAAATAGATGAATCAAAAAAAGAGCGACGGGCTTCACTTTCTCAAGATCAATTCACGTACGTTTTAAAATGAACCCTTCATAAACTAGTATGAATGGGGTTTCAGTCAAACGGATACGCCACCGCTGGAAAGTTCAACAAAATACCCATCCCAGCACGTCCAGATTCAGTGGCTTGCGCGTCAACGGAGGTGCGCAACCGGAAGAGAGTGAAGGGACAGTTATTTCACTCACAGTACTAACTGCCAGCGGATGAAACTCTTGGAGAATCTACTGTACGCCTTCAGTTAAGCCCAGAAAAACACTGTATTGTCATTGTGAAAACATAAAACTATACTTCGGTATTCGGGGCGACCCACCAGACAGACTCAATCAACTGCTGACCAGCGGTGGCTAAGACTAAAGGTAATAACAGCTGACAGGTTTATAAATTATCCTGAAAACACGACTTTCTGCAGTGGCGCTCCTGATAATAACCAGAGTTGAGTGGACCGCATGGCAAATGCTAATACAAGTGACGGTTTTCTCCACTCATTCTTCTGTCGAACATTTCCAGACAATGTCCGAGATGGTCAAAAGCATCCTTTGTGACGGGATTCAATAGGCTTGAGTTAGATTAACTATCGCTACCGACTTCACTAGAAGGTTCGAAGACGCGAATCTTCTGAAAGATAAGCGGGCGAGCTATCAATGAGTATTAGATGTTAAAACTCCATAAAGCCGATGGCTTTGAACAAGGCTTGACTCGTCTCTACGGAATACTGATGTTTGGAGTCACGGCTGAAGGCGTTCTGACATTTTACTAGATTGAACTGTCCAAGGAACTTCTCGTTCTAGGTAGTTCCCCTGGGAATGTATCGTTGGTTTTCCAACATTGGCATTTGCCGCTGTCGGCCAAATACACTTTTTGCAAACTAAGTTTGTGTTAACGGTCAACTCAGCTGAATCCCACCTGATGTTCTTCAACTAAACCTGCTTACAAGGGCCGCCTCAAGTTTCTGTCGATACGATATTCGAGACATCGGAGCATATTTTCTTGATGGGGCCTACTACTCATAGCACGAAACAGATTTCATCAAATTTATGAGAAGTGACGTTGTGCTCATTTTGAGCCATCGCCATACACTACGAAGCCCACAGTAAAGACGCTCGTGGGCTAATAACGTTGTGACTCCTTTCATCCGCCTGCTTGCACGTTACTCTGGCAATTACATAGGCTCCTACATCTGTCAAATTAATTTGCAAGTAAAACATTTTGTGATAAAATATCTAGGACCACAACCAGTTTGTATGTGGAACAAACTACTGAGTGTTTAGGAACAATTCTATCTTCATTGCTTGGTCTTAGCTCGAAAATAGAACAAAAGCTGACAGCTGATGCACTGATGTGCATTCCGGATGCTGGCGCGTCGCCTTCACCGGAAGACTACTGCACACGATTTAAGGACCTTAGTTGATTGCCTCAAATAGCAACAAAGTTTATTCTCAATACACAGGAAGTTATTTTACTAAGCAGCCTTTATTTCCGCTCATGTGACAGATATTTCTGGAGTAGCGTATTTCTTCTCCACTTCACTTCACTCTCTCAGAAAGGTCGACTTTCAGAAGCACTGTCCTTTTCAAGGCTGGTTCTGTTTTCGTTGCCATGTTTGCAAAAATGTTTGCAGAGCCAATATACTCGGTGAAGCAAAAACTAATCCAAATAGATGAAAAGTCCGCGGCTGATCGACTTTAACGTCTCCGCCAATAGTCTGAACAACTGCTTTGCATGTTTTTTTGCCCTAACTGAATGGTGCACAGCCCCTGCTTGAGCAAATTATAAACTGTGTAGCAAGGTCATCGACAAACGATGACGTTACTCCCGTCGTTGTCATGGGGATAGAAAATGGGTGTGAGCAGATAAGGTGTCGGCTTACGATTAATACCGACATCTACGTCATCCTCCATTACATGATAATTTTACCACATCGTAGACGGGTTCCAAACCATGGAGAAAATCCTTTTGAGCAGAAATTTTCGTGTTTCGAGGCGGTGAATAATGCGTTCAAAAAGCGGTGTATCCTCTGAAATCCGTGACTAATTCATAGACAACTTGAATTTCAGATTCAGACGTTTGGAATACCAGGAAGAGAAAGATCTCACTCCAAAGGACAGCTCTAGTTCAACTCACGACTTAGAAGAGTTTTGAACAACCAAACAGCTCTTTGAATCAATTCAGGAGCACAGAGATATACAAAATCGACATACGAGTAAGAAGATTGCTAAACGTCGCAAACGGGCAACCCCGAAACGTTCGGCTTCCCACCTTTATTGCGTATCTGCGTCAAGGCTGGTATCGGCGCCTTCCGCTGCGATTTGATGCGTCAAAGGTTATCGCAGCGGAAAAAAGACCTTAAACTTTTGATGATGAACGCCCTCAGGACCATGGCCTAGACAAAATAGAACCAGCCATCTTGCATATTTAGGTAACTGGTTGGGCCCACGCCGGTCAGGTTTGAATCTTTCGTGCCAGACTTGTGCACCAGGACATCAGAGATGTGATAGAAGCTTGAGAGTACAGGAAGCTGCAGCACCTCCGGCAGATGGGTTATAGAATCTCTAGTATGAAGACCGAGTGAAATTCTTGTACCTATCCCATCAACAGGGCCGCCGAACTATAGGTGACCTGATTATCCTCCGATGACTAGTATCAGGGGCCGACCGGCTAGCTTTCTTGCCGCAACGATGATCAACGAAGGGACAATGTTTCACTTGTTGGAATCAGGGCGGTACCAAGCACTTCCTCTCAAGTTATCAAAAATGGTTGTAGCATATGGAACGGGCTCCCATCTGCCGTGAGACAAGACGGTGAGGATACCGTTCCCACAATCAGAATAAAGATGACAGCGACCGTGTATCCAATACGCCAGAATGGGGGACCCGTGAACTCCATGGTGTGGGATTTTTATTCAGCCCCAGAGCTAGACGCGCCTCACTAAACTGGTT